CCACTTGATTCCATTCTTTTTTCATTGTAAAGCTTGTAACCTCATCTTTATAAAGCATCAAGAATCATGCCCTAAGACCCCTTGAGTTGAGAATGCCATGATTTTGAAATTGGTAACTTGGAACTGAAGTTTCATCACAAGTCAGATTTTGAAATCTTTGTTTTGACTTCTAATCACAAGTTTTCCACGCGTTTTTGCCTCTAAACATGTTTAGTGAACTTCCAGAATGGATTAGCACAACAAAACACGTGTTTTGGATGAGTTTTGATCAAGTTTGAAGTCACACTTTTCTTGTTTGCAACTTCACACGATTTCCCTCCAAACTTCATCATTTCACACGTTTGAACATTCCATTTGATTCCCTATAAATAGAGGGTCATTCCTTATTCATTTTCTCAAGCTTGGATAGCCAGAGTCACCCTGCCAAACTTGTTCCACAGCTCAGAATTCAGTAACTTCAAAATCCATTCTCAAGCCTTTTTCAATCCAATTTTTCCATCAATTCACCTTCCTTGATCTTCCCTGAAGCTAACCACATAATTACATTTAAGAATCATGCCCTATACTGCTTCATAGAAGTCCAATTTCAGAGCTCTACAACTCAACTTCAATAGATAGATTCCTTCATCAATTCTTTAAAACTCTGATATCATTGTCTTGCTCTCATTGCCCTGGTTCTAGTTGCAACACTTACCTTTTACTGGAAACACGTTTTGACCATGAAATTTCAAATCCCTTTTTAAAACTTTCCTTCCAAATTGCTTGAGCTACAATTTATATAAATTTGGCGCGAGGGTGTGGTTGTCTTCGTCTTGAAGAGACGAAGCGAACGACATAGGTTTGAGCTTCTGATTTTACAATTTGAGAGACCTGCAAATCACGTTGGCTGGAGGTTGAAGATGACCTACGTGTCATCTTCCAACAAATGATGGCACGCCACTTGTTATTTTTGAAAATCTGATTTATATTTGATTATGTACTTTATTCATTAATGACCATGATATGCACAGCGCGTCAGATCCATTGGATTTGATTACTAACACGTTTTAACTCTCATCCAATGGTCCACATATTTTTACTTTTATTTTCTTTTCTGATTTTTATATTTTAATTGTTTTAAATTTCAAAAAATCATAGAAAATTCATTTTAAGTCCAAAAAATCTGAAAAAATTATGAAAAAATACTTTGATTATTCTCTTTCTGATTTTTTATTTTTTCACAATTTAATTTTGTGTTTTGGTATTTTTTTACAAAAAATTTACACTTTATTTGAATTGTTTTAAATGTTTAAAAATACTTTTATACATTTTTAAATTCTGAAAAAATTATGGAGTGATCCAATGATATTTTGACAAATATTGGTGACCTTATTTTATTTTTGTTTTTGACTTTACTATTTTTTATCATTTTTGGTTTATTACACCCATTTCTTTCAATTTTAAAAATAGTTTCTGACTTTAAAAAATTACCAAAAAAATTGTAAAATTATTTGAGCCTTTTTCTGATTTTTCTATGGTCTTATTTTTTATTTCTTGATTAATTTGAACACAGTTGATATTTTTCTCTTTATTTTCTATTTTTAAACATTATTTTTAAACCCTTTTGTATATATTAAAATGTAATATTATTTTGTGACTATTTTATGGCTGATCTTGGGTTAAATTTTGGATCATGAACTTTATTAACATCATTGGATCCATAGTGTTGAGTTTAACTCCGCAAAAATGGATGAATGATTTTAATAATAGTTTGATTAAATTTAATTCAAAAGTGGTTTGTATATTCTCTCACATCCCTCTTCATCTCATCCCCTTCTTATTGCACTAAATATTGTTGGATCATGATCTTTATATCATGTCTCAGAATAAATGGTGCATAGATTGCTATTGACCGGCCTCAAAATAGGTACGACTTCTATATAAGTCCACTTACGATTGCTTAACATAGCGCTAAATTTTGTCCCGATTCGAATAAATGATCATTTGTGGCCCAAACTTATATTTGCAAGCCCAAGTATGTTAATTTGATCTCTTTGATCCAATAACCTTGAGATTCATTGTGTGGAGGCTTTGGTTCTACCAATCCTCTAATGGATCTACAACACCTTTGGTCAATGCAGATCACTTAAACATCGTTGATCATTAAATGACACTTGTGAGAACTCCAAATGGATGATATACTTGACAAAAAGAAAATGCAACTTATTGTGTGGAGGCTTTGGTTCTACCAATCCTCTAATGAGTTCCAAATGCAAGCTTCAAGATGGTCATCCAACTAACCACTAATTATTTACTTGTTTTACTTTATGCTTTTATTTTTTTTATGCTTTATGTACCATTTACTTTTAGCATTTACATTTCATGCCATTTTCATCTTTGCTCATTTGAGCATTTACTTTCTTGTCATTTTTACTTTGCTCACTTGAGTTTTTTTTTTAAGATACTTAATAATCAATATAAACCATAAAAATCTTTAATGGTACTTGGACTATTTGGTTACTATCCTTGGCATTATGGAGCATGAGACTTTTTTTTCTTGGACTTAGGATTAGAAACCTTGGCCTATCTTGGAGACCTTGTGATCTTATCTGATTATTTTGTCTGGAGTTCTTGAGGTTTACCTCAAGACATTGGGTTGCTTGTTTGTTTTTGTGTGCTAGTTTTTGTGATTACACCCTTTGTTTGTAATATGGAATTCACCCGTATACAGCCGTTACTCTGCCCAATTTTTATGAAGACTTAATACACTTGAAGTTTGATTCTCTCAAGAGGTCTAGTATTTTTTTGCTTTATTGGTTTCAATCCAAGGAATGAGAATTCTATCTTGGCTCATAATGTCAAGTATTGGCTTCTTGTTGGTTAGGTGGTTCTTATCACTAGCTTTTACCTTATGCTTTAGGATAATCTCTTCTTCTCCTCCCATCTTCTTTAATTTTAAAAATCTTCTTCCTCCTTTTGAAAACTCTTCTTGTTTTTAAACTTGAACCACTTTCATAATAAACTCGGACTTATGTCCATGCATTTTCAAAACATTTTCATAAATAAACTCCAATCAACTTAATAGTACCTTGACATTTTTTGTGAGAAGACTAAAAGTCAATCAATCTCATTTCAAACCATTTTGCCACTTTGGCTTTTATCTTTAAACTTTTCTCAAAAGATTGAACTCTTTTCAATCCTTGTAGTGATACAAACAACTATACTTCTACAATATATAGTGAAGATAGATATTTTCCACTTGGGTGTTGAGTGAGACATTGTTGATTTTAAGATCCAGGCCATATCCTCCACTTTGAGATGATGCAAATTCTCCTTTCTCATAATTGTGTGTAGTAGGTATGTTTTCCACACAGACAGTGACAATGATGTTTTATCTCATAAAATTAACCAACACATTTGTGTTTTAAATTTTTAAAAGAAGAACTACGTGTACCCTGATCCCCTATTGCACGAAAAGGTGGTACGTAGGCACTAAAGGTTTGCAACCGCGGCGGGTGCAAAAATTACAAAATAAATATATTTCTTTTCTCACCTCCACCATCCGTTTTTATACAACATTTTTCATAGCCAAAATATACAGATTTCACAAAGAGGTTCATGCGGAGTACCGTAGATGTTTAGGGTGCTAATACTTTCCCTTTGCATAACCAACTCCCTTATCTTGAATCTTTCCCCTTCTTTTTGGGTTATTCGCTCTTTTCCCATTCCTTTGGAAACAATAAAGTGGGTGGCGATTTTTATTTTTATTTGTAAGTCTAATCAACCCAATGACTTAGTCTTAAACATTTCTACCGCTACACTAAAATATAATTATGTTGACATATTTAGTGATAGTTTAGGAACATTCTTGAGGGTTTTTGAGTTAAGATTGAATTTTCCACCTCTTTTTAAGTTGAATTTCACGAAGTCATGTTTGATATTGAATATGTTAATAGAGAAATTGAAAAAATATTTGATTTCAAAGTGACTAAATACTAACCGTTAGTACATTTTCTAACGTGAATATTATTCTTTAATATCTTTTAATTAAATAAAATAATACTATAAACACTATCTATTTTTTTATTTAAGATATTTCACACTTATAAATAAAAAAAATAAATATACAAATAGATTAAATCAATACAATTATTTATTTTAGATTATGACATTTCGTGAAATCGACTTTTTATTATTGTTTTTCAAAAATATTTAAGAGATAAATTGTGTATGTCAAACTATTATTTTTATTAAGTTTAAATTATTATTTTTTTGAGTTAATATCATTTTACAGAGTTTTGATTTATATCTAAAAAATTTTTTTGGATTATCCCTTATAATATCTTTTTTTTTTTTGTTTACTCCCCTAAGACCAGATCATATATAGAACTCTTTTTTTTCTTTCATACAAACAGGTCAATAGAAACACCACAGCATCTACGTTAGCACTGTACAATTTTTTATACTAGCATCAAATCAAATACTATCAAAACTTAGATGATTTGAAAATTCAATTATTACAAAAACTAAAAAATAAGCAAAAACTGAATTTGATTTTCAAACATTAAATTGAAAATACAAGTGTCAAGAAATTACGTACCAAGAATAATCTCAAAAACTAATCTCACTTCAAATTATGTTTGACTCACTTATTTGCAACTCCTTAATTTCTTCGAAACTTCTTGTGATTAGAGCCAAGAAACCAAAGAGATAAAAGGAACAAGAAGAAACGATAAAGAACAAAAGCCAGCCACATAGTTTGTTTTAAATGGAGCCCACAAGAACCACGAGGTTGTTCATGTAATTTCCTAGAATCAATTAGTTCTTAATGATTATGTTCGGTGTCTCATCTAGTTGTACTCTTCCAGTTTCTATGCCTCTCACTCCATTAGAAAAAGATGAAAAATCACTTTACATAAACACCTGCAGAAAATACTATAAAAACCTTGTCCTTTTCACTTTATCACTTTTTCATCACCAAAAGTATATAGTTAGAGACAATTGGTGATAATATTGTCATCATGGCGACAAGGAGAGATAGTGTGAAAGAGGTTAACTCAAGTGAGGTTGGTGATACAATTTATGTTGCTGTATCTAAAGATGTGAAAGATAGCAAGTTAAATGTGATTTGGGCAATACAAAATTCTGGAGGAAAGATAATTTGTATTCTTTATGTGCATGTGCCATCGCCTAAGATCCCTATGAGTAAGTGTTTTTGTTATATTATTTGACTATACTATAAATATTTTAGAAAACTCGTTCATAATTCTTGTCAAAAAAACAACTCAGTCATACATGGATATTAGAATTCTCAGATGTGTTGGGTTTGGTTATCTACAGTGGGTGCTAAATTTCCAGCAAGTGCACTGACAAAGCAAGAAGTTGAAGCATACAGGAAAAATGAAAGTCAAGACATGCGCAAGGCTCTTGATGCTTACCTTCTTATCTGTCAAAGGATGGGGGTAATTTTCATGTGTTTGCATCATTCATTCACTTCAAAACTTGCTTGACTTTTGACTTATAACTTTCTGATACAGGTGAGAGCAGAAAAACTTCACATTGAAATGGATTCCATTGAAAAAGGGATTATAGAACTCATCTCCAAATATAACATACAAAACCTTGTTATGGGAGCAGCTTCTGATAAGCACCATTCAAGGAGAATGACTGATCTCAGATCTAAGAAAGCCATCTATGTATGTCAACAAGCTCCTTCTTCTTGTTATATACAGTTCATCTGCAAAGGCTATCTTATACATACAAGGTATGTTGTTGCATCATAAATGGTTAATATTAATATGCAGACCCGTCTCAACTTTTTGAAGATCCTGTTTAGATTAGTTACAGTTTAACCATAACAAAACGAATAGACCGTATTTAATTATGGTTTAACGGACACAAACATTTTATGAAGCCACAAATTTTGGATCCTACTTAGTAGATCCGTCTTGTACGTCCTCAAAGACGACTCTGATAATAAACTTTGTTGTTTTCTAGGAATACTCATGCACTCAAGGATTGCGGTTTGGATAAATATAGAGTAGAGGGAACATCTACTTTGATGGAGCAAATGCAAAAGTCTCCAGTTGGTAACTCAATTGAGATCTAGATCAGTTTCATATGATCAAGATCAGTTATCCCATCATCATAGAGTAAGGTCTATAAGCTCTTCTGCTGGAAGTGGAAGAAGCATGGTATCATGTGTATCTTCTCCGGAAACAAGTTGGTGTCCTTCACCATTATCAGTTGAAACATCATCGATTACAAGTGATGGAAGTGAGAGTGTGTTGGACTTGAAAATGAGTTCCTTATCAAGTATTAAAGAGGAAGATCTTCATCAATCATTACCTCCTTGTGTGCTGGTAACAACGTTTGTGTCTCTTGTGGTGCATCATGCATGTGCATGTGCATGTTTATTATTGGCATTTACTTTATTTTTCTTTTGGACACTAGCAGGATGGAGGAATGAATAGTGTTTATGATCATCAGCTTGAACAAGCTATGGCTGAGGCTGAGAAGGCTAGATGGGATGCATATCGAGAAACGGTTAGGCGTCGCAAAGCTGAAAAAGATCTCATTGATGCAATCCGCAAGGTAGTTATAGTCATTTATTTTCTTCCTACAAACTAGACAAAAAATGAGTAAATTGCGAAGAGATTTCATTTTTTCCGCCATGACTTTTATTTATTTTTAGTAGCGAAACTTATTTTTGAAGGTTGTTGAAATAAACAGACTAATGACACCAATATCTTGTATCAAGAAGAGATAAAACTAAGGAAAGAGTTAGAGGAAGAACTACATAAAGCAAAAGAAGAAATTCACAACATGAGAAGCCAAATAGACAAAGTCAATGAAAATCTCCAACTTGCCTTGGATCACAAGTCATTAAAAGAGAATCAAATTGGTGAAGACTCAAGAACACAATCTCTTCAACTTTTCAATGAGTTTTCTTTTTCAGAAATTGAAAAAGCGACTTGTAACTTCAATCCATCCTTAAAGATTGGTGAAGGTGGATACGGAAGCATATTTAAAGGTATCCTTCGTCACACCGAGGTGGCTATAAAAATTTTGAGTCACAACAGCACTCAAGGACCTTCCGAGTTTCAACAAGAGGTAAAGATAAATTGAGTTTGCTCGATGTCTTCATAAACTATCGAGTTTGTCATAAGTTGTTTTTATAAATTCTTTTGTATCAGGTTAAAATATTGAGCAAGTTAAGGCATCCAAATCTTATAACACTTATTGGAGTAAACCAAGAATCCAAAACTCTTGTCTATGAGTATTTACCAAATGGAAGCCTTGAAGATCATCTCATCTGCATAGACAGAACCATCCCTCCATTATCATGGAAGACTAGAATCCGCATCGCGACAGAACTACGTTCAGCTCTAGTTTTCCTCCACTCCAATAAACCTCACAGCATAGTGCATGGTGACTTAAAACCTTCCAACATTCTCCTTGATGCAAACCTAGTATGCAAGCTAAGCGACTTTGGAATAAGCCGAGTACTATCGCGTCAAGACGATTCTTCAAGTAACAATACCAATAGTACACAGTTTTGGATCACTAGTTTTGCAAAGGGGACATTTGCATACATGGATCCTGAATTCTTTGCAACAGGTGAACTTACTACAAAGTCAGATGTTTATTCATTTGGAATTTTGTTGTTGATGTTGGTAACTGGGAAATCAGCATTAGGAATAAAGAATGAAGTGTTGTATGGTTTAAAGGGTGGAGAAATGAAATCAATGTTGGATCCTTTGGCTGGAGATTGGCCTATTGTGGAAGGTGAAAAGTTGGTTCATTTGGGTTTGAAATGTTGTGATATGGATAGAAAAATTAGGCCAGAGCTTTATTCTGATGTGTGGAGGGTGTTGGAATCAATGAGAGGGTTGTGTAGCAATTTATAGGAAGTTAATTACTTTTAACAAATGAATTTGATGGTTATTCTAGAATTCAAGTTAGATTATTCTAGAGTTTTTTAATTGATAAGTTTATTGGTTTAAGTTGTGATTCCTATCCGAGTAAGATAGAAGTGTTTTTATTTCAAATGTATAAAGCAATAAAAAACTAAGAATGCAATAAAAAGAAACATCTATTAATTGAAATATTACATATATATAATGCATATTCACATTTTCAATTATTAAAGGAAATCCATTAAAATCTACGGAGAATTTCTATTAATCTTGATGAATAAAATTATTATCACTATATAATGAAAATAAAAGAAAGAATTAAGATTTATCATATCCTAATTTTTAACCTAGGATCCCAACATCCATGTACATCATTGCATTACATCATTCATACTTACATCACTAACCTTGTGAAGATACAAAGATATGTTTTGTGTTGTTTGTTGCTTTTTTACCAGGTAGGAACTCAAGGCATTGATAAGATCAGTAGTCCTCAAATATTAAAGCTCTTCATTCACTTATGTTGATCAAGTAAATCATCATCTTTATCACAACTTCATCACATTAGGGTTTCATTGGATTCATCAAGTGATTGAAGAAAATTAGGGTTTTGGCTCCTCAGATGAAAAATCAGAAATTAGGTTTGAGATCTTCAATTGTGTATCACTCAAGGCTTCATCATATCATCATATTATGAGCTTCAAAGATATCTTGACATGCTAAGGATTGCATCATAATCAAAATATTTCATTGAAATTGGACAACTGAATTCGTCTGGTACAAAGTCAATTGCAAGGTCAAACTTTGACTTTTTAGTCAAATATGGACTTCTCAAGCTAAGGATCATGAAAATAAGGTTGATGAGTGAATTTGATCAAGAGAAATCAAGAAATTTGAGATTACTTGCAAAAAGGGTAAGATTAAAGAAGTTGAAAAATTCACTAAGTGTAAAAAATTCATGTTCAAGTGCATAACTTTGCAAGCTTGTAACTTCTTCCTCAAGCCACCATTTTCATGCCCAAAAGATAAAATTGAATATAATCTTTCATACTACAAATTTTTCATAGGGGATGAGGTCCAAAAAATGCATGAATTTGAAGATATGAAGTGACCAAGTTGGCATCTCAAAGTTGATTAAAGTGTTCAAAGACTTAGAAATTTTTCTAAGTGTTTTCAGCTTAAAGCAACAATTTTGTAAGGAATTTTCACCAAGATCTCATTTGATTCAAGGAAAGTGATCAACATGAAAGTTATAGAGGATGTTTCAAGCATTCCAAAATGTCCAAGAGTATGAAAATATGATGTTTGAGCTAGGATAATCAAAGAGATGAAGTTAGGCATTTAAAGTTGCATTAGAGGTCAATTTTGTGACAAGTTCATGATCAAATCTCCAAGACACATCATGCAATCTTGTTTTTTCAGGCCACATTACCTTTAAATCTTAACTTGATCAGAGATTTACACAAAATTTTGGTACATTACACAAAGATTAGAAGCTTTGTCCATTGAAATACCATTTATGGATGAATTTGCAAAAAGTCACATTGCTACTTTGATAAAGCAAGATTTATGCCAACAGCTCCTCAATTAGGCTTGCACTTTGCTTCTAATCAGATCATACAATATCTAAACACTCAGAAGCAACATGCTAAGTGCATAAATAATGGCTAAAGGTCCCTAAATCAGTCTACCTTTTCATCATGATCCAACTTGGTATTTTGAAACCAATTGATCAAACTACCATTCAAACTGAACCAATTTGAATTTCTGCAAGTTACTTGAACTATTTGGAACCTCTATAAATAGAGAAGCCAACCCCAAAGCTAAAAACATGAAAGTTTGCATACAAAACCTCCATTGTTGCATCTTGTCGTATCCCAAATTTGTCCTACCCCGATGATTTTATTTTTCAAGATTAAAATAATAAAGAAACATTTAATTAAGGATGGTACAACAATATTTGATGGTCCATTCTTAAAATTTAAGTCAACCGGGGGGTGTATTTTAATTCAGGAAAATGGGGCTTTCTAAATCAGAAAGACTCATAGACTTATTCGCGAAGCATGTTGGCCAATGACCCATGCGATTCGAAAATAGGAAATTATTTCAAAAGAATAATAACTATTAAGTTCTTAATTATTAAATAGTTGTTGTTAATAAAAGAGAGGTAACTAAGCACCATTTAAATGTTATTTGTTGTTAATAAAAGGGGAGGTATAATTATGAATTATAGGTCCATTAAATATTTTACTGTTTTAGTAATAAGAGAGGAGGGTGCAATTACAACTACAGGCCCAATATATCCATTAAAGCTAGCCCGTTTGATCTTTTCTGAAATGTTGAATAGAAGAATGGGGGTGTACGTTTTTCTAGGGGTTCAAATAATGGGTATAGTTGGGCCTGCTCAATGTTGGCTTATGTTTGGAAACGGTTACTAATAAACATTATTACAATTAGATATTTTTTATAAACTATTTATTAAAGAAATTCCTTTTGTAATAAGCATATTGTGTTTGAGAAAAGATTGCTGCTAGTCCAAAGGAAATAAGGCCCAATCTGCTTATAGAGGAGAGAAAACATTTTTTGGACAAAAAATATAATGTAGCTGGGCTGAATACAAAATATAACGTGAAGCCTATTTAAATAAAAAAAATTGTTTTTACTGTATAAAACAATAACTTGCAGGCCCAATTCCATAAATGAGCACTGGCCCAATTAAACCAAATAACAACAACTGTTCAAATCATCACTAAATTAGCGCATTTGTTTTTGCAGAAAACAGGTACTGTAGAAATCATTGTGAAAATCAAATCTACATCAAATCTTATTACAGTAAAAAGCAATTGCAATCCAAAACTAGAAATTATAGAACAATCAAATCTCTATTAACAGAACAAATCCAAATCTTACATAATCAAATCAAATACATTTCACAATCATTTACAAACCAGAATCTGGAATCAATTACAACACAGATTTACAATCCCTAATTCCTAATCTAATCTCCCTAATTTCTGGCTAAATATAATTCTAACAATTCAAAACCCTAAATACAGAAAACTCTATAAATAACAGAAAATTAAAAAAGATGAGGGGAGGGTTTTACAGAGAGAGGAGATTTGATACAGAAAAGAAAATAATTTTTTACAGTGGGCGGGATCAAGAACAGAAGACGATACAGAGAAAGGGGGCGATTGGGGTTTCACTATCGGAAACCACAATCGCCGTTGCAAACCCTAAGCCTCCCTTGCTAGCCCAATTGCCGCTATCACTACCGTCGCAGGAACCTGCAAATTAAAGAGGAAGGGGTTAGAAACTGGAACGTTCAGAAAGCAAACAGGTTCGCGAAAAGGGTAATTTGACTTAGCATGTTTTTGTGTTGTTATGGGGTTGCTGGGTTTTCACTGACGGTGAGAAAGGGTTCGGTTGGGTCGAGCCGTCGCGGGTACAGGGGATGTTAGGACTAGGGTTTTGAAAGAAGAAGAAGAGAGGAAAGGGTTAACGAGAGAGAGGAAAAGGGGTTCTAGTGAAAAAAAGAGAAAGGGTGGTTCGCCAGTGTTGTACCCCAAAATTTGCCCTCCCATATTCTTCAAGAAATTGCCAAGCAAAGCTTCAAAGTTCCCCAAGGGTTGCACAGTTCAAGGGTCTCCAAAACAGTCAAGATTAGGGTTTTGGTTCTGATCAAGAAAATGAAGTTTTCAAAGGTACAATCAAGTCTCCCATGCCTACAAATATGGTCAAGTATCCTCATATCAAGTTTCAAGACATTCAGCATAAAATTGCACAGTCAAAAACCCTAATTGCACTACAGTCAACTGTAGGGGCAAAATGGTCATTTGACAGTCAAAAGTTCAAATTTTTGGTCAACATATCATTTTGAAGCCACAAACATCATTTGATCAATGCTTGATCATGATTCTCAAAGTTTGGCTCAAAAATCATCAAGATGCAAAAGTTTCCTTATTTGGACAGTTGAAAAAGTCAACTGTAAATTGACCAGGGCATAACTTTCACATGGATTATCAGAAAAATTCCATCCAAAGCTCATTTTGAAGAGAAAGACATTTCCTACAACTCATCTTCATACTTCAAGTCCAAGAAATGCTCTCACAAAAAGTTATCAATTTCAACATTATAGGTCATTTTCAAAAGTCAACAAAAAGGGACTTTAAGTAAAAGGCCATAACTTGAGATTGGTAAACCAAAATGACATGGGACCAAATACATTGGTTATAGGACTCAAAGACCTTTCCAAAATGTCCAAGAACATAAGCAAATATTAAAAATTGAGCAAGTTATGCCTTGTGGAAGTTAGGAAATTTTTGGATATTTTGAAAAGTCAACATTGATTCAAATGACCTAAAATTGCTAATGGGCCCATTTTTCTTCTACAATTCATCATCCCAAGCATGTGCACGACCACTTGGCCCAAAGGGAAGTTTTATTCATTTTTTATTTATTTATTTGAATTTTTATTAATAATAATTCATTTAAATCAATTAAATATATGAAAAATACTTAACCTAATTTATCAAATCTTTTTGTACATGTAATAAGCTCAATGATTCGTGCATGATCAGATTTGGAAGGAATTGGATTGATTGGATTATGATTGGTACAAAATTGCATGAAAAAGATTGAAAAAAATATGATTGAAAATCAAATCTCATAAACCATCAATTCAAAGATTTGGATCAAATTTCTTAACCTAATTCATTCCTACATAAGCATAGAACAGAAACCTAATGAAAGAGACCACGCAGCTGCTCAAAAAACCCTTGCACAAACTCACACTTTTTCTCAAAAATCTCAATTCTGAAAACACCTTTGCAAGGCGATTCAAGACAAAATAGTGATTCCATTAGCTTCCTTGAGGATTATAGGACATATTCCAATCATTCCCCAAGCCCCATACTCAAGAAAACGCAAGATCACCATTGAAGTTGGTAAAGAAAAATTCTGAATCGGTTTCTATCATACATGCATTGTTA